CTTACATGTTTATGTGTCAGGTTGTGAAAATTGAACTACATTTGTGGCCTCAATTTAGTCATGTAATTATTACACTTAATTTTCTTTATTTTGATATTAATATTCTTGTGATTGAAAGAAAAATGGGCATGGGATGCTCTAGAAATCGTTGACCCATCTTTGTTGAATTATTTTGCAGTCCGAAACTTCTTTTTTTACTGGAGTTGGGATTAGCACAAAAAGTGGCATTCTTAATTATAGAAGTTACTTTCCTCAACTCAATATACATACATAAGTGTAAAAGGAATGCAACAGTTTAAGCGTCATGATGTTGCTCTACCTTCTTTAACATGAACCTCATGGAAAGTATTAATGATTTTTGAGTGGTTGATTGAATTCCTTGAATCGTGGAACGTGATAGGGCTGCTTCAATAACTGCTTTGATAACTGCACTCCTTGATAACCACGACGCTTTATGTTTGTTAAGATCTTGGGCGACTTGCAAACTTGGGCGATGGCGTTACCGCGTTCTTGGGCCTCCCTATTTGGGCTTTCATCTTGATTTGTTCGATTGGGCTTCATTCCTTGGGCTATCTGATTTGGGGATCCTCCAATTGGGCTTCACTCCTTGGGCTGTTCGATTTGGGCTGAATTTTTATGTGTCAACACCTATTATAAATTTTTCTGATTAATTAAATTTGAAAAGAATTATCATTTTATTTGTGGAAAATTAGAAGATTCGGGCGTTGAAGATTTTGATTTATTGTTTCTTCAACTATCTCCTTAAGATTTTTTTTTTTTTTTTTTTTTTTTGGGTGTCAATAACTATTTATTTTCTTTCTTATGGATATTTTCTTTAACCTCGAGCTTTGATAAGCAGATATTAATTTTTTTCATTTCTGGATCTTTATGGCTGCCCTATATGTGGTGTTTGGTGTTTGAACATGAAATTACTTAACCTTGAATCTTAAAGATCAAGGCAACCACTGCTAATATGTTCTGGAGTTAAAGTAGCTTTTAACACTCTTTTTCAGTTGGTTGCTAATTCGTTTTGTCTACCGGAAGATTTAACTTAACTAGAATTTTAACAACTTGGATACATAACATCATTAGTAGATACTTGGCAATGTAACGTGTATAGATCGCCAACCTACACAACTCCTGTTTATTCGTAAGCATAGTTTAGGTAACCATGCATATATCTAGCCATTATCATCGATTTGCGTAACGTAATTTATTATCGTTCTCATATTGGTATAGTTCGTTAAACAATCATTTTATTTCTTGTAAACTTGGATACTTCTAAGTTGTTAACTATGATTCCACTATGTCCACAGCCTTCGAGAAAGAAAAAGAACAAAAACTAATAGTGTTTGTTGTAATCATGCTTTAACTCAATCTTGATGAAACAAGTCTATGATTATTCATGATAACACAACGTTTTTGGGAATCCTGGTGTATTGGGATGGCATCCTGGTGCTTAAAGTTTCTTATATATGTTTCCTCTCTCTCTTATTATTTGAACCTGTTTTGTCGGATGACAAGGCTTTTCTTCAGAAGAAGAAAGAAGTTGCAAAGGTGAAAGTTTATTCTGGCATCTATACTGATCCTATTCTGCATCTTAGTTATATTTATTTTGATTTTATCCTCAGATTTCAGTTAGTTATATCTATTGTGATTGTTTATTGGTTTGATAGGCTCTGAAGGAGCTTAAAGCAAAGGTTCAAAAGGGAGCACTTGAAGGTGATGGGCTAAATAAAAGTGGAAAAAATTGAAACTCACGAAGAAGAAGAAACCAAAAACTCCTTTGTAGTCAATTGTATCACGATATTACTATTTCGTTTCCATTTTAGTATGATGTTCTTGCTTATGCTAAACTATCAAGCAACTTTCTATGAAGATTCTCTCTGTGTGTGACAGTGAGGGAGAGCATATAGGGTGTCGATGGTCATGAATTGATGAATAGCCTATTAAGCATCTAAGCGGGTGTAGAACACTATAACTGAGGACCTTGTAGCTTATAAAGGCCATTTCATTTCCTCAGATGATCCTCTGTCACCTCCTTTTGTGGACCTTGATCCTGATTCTTTGGCCCCTTCTAACCTACTACCACCTCTCATAGCACACAAAGAAAAAATTGATGCTATTTTAGATGAAGAAACTGTGTTCATTAATGATGGAGAGGTTCAGCGCTTCCTTGTTCGTTGGGTTGGTCGACCAGATTCTGACTGTGCATGAATCTCCAAGGAGACACTACAGCAATTGGATCCAGATTTATTGGAGTTTTATCGGAGTCAGCATGATCTTCCTTGGCCCAAATCGCCTCTCGTCCACTCGAGGGGAGTTGGTGAGGACACCAGGTTCAGACCGCCACTGACGCATTTCTACAGACGCCGGAAGAAGCTTGCCCAACCACTCAACTTATGGTTGAGAGATTGACGGAAGCCTATAATGATATAGCCATTCGACAGGGTCGAGTTTTCTCTCCCACCCCGGAGAATTGATGAGGACATCCCAGTTTCATTATTTTAGTTAGATGACATTTAATTATTTTAGTTGGACTTTTATTTCTTAGTTGGACTTGGGTTATTTTATTTTATGGACTTGTGTAATGGAATTGTCCCTATCTTTCAGATTTTTTTTTAGGTTTTCAGTATTTTCAGTAGTTAAACCTATTTTTACATTGTAATTGGAAGTTAATGAATTGATTGAATAGAATTGGCTACAACCCTCGTTCTTCTCCCCTCTTCTTCTTCCCCCCTTTCTCTGTGCTTCTCCCTCCCCTCATCTCTTCTTGTTATTCTTGCTGAAGTTACTTATTACTAATTTATTCACCCTGAATCACTCCGTGTGGCCAGGCAGCATTTTTCCTGGGTTGATTGATTTACACCAATGAGTTTATGGTGTTGCCTTCACCATTTATCTTCATTAAATGCTTTTGTGGGAATATTAAAGATATAATAGTGAATTTTTTCATATTATGACGTTTGACCTTTAAAACCCGAGAAAGAACAGTTTTGTTGGAATATGTCCGTCATCTACAATGCAGTAGTAGACCTATTGGATTGTTTAATCTGATTGAATCTTCTTTAATGATAGGTTTAATTTATAAGCAAGCTTGATTTTTTTAAAATTTTATTTTTGAAAATTGCTATGCAAGTGAATATTATATTGTTTTGTTTCTTAATAGAATCAAGCCCAGTGTTTTTTTTTTGTGTGGATATGATTTATATTATGTAATCAAGTCAATTCAATGAGTTTAATCTTACAATGTAGCCTGCTAAACTAGATTGGGAAATTAAATGTTAAATAGATTTATAGAAATTGCTCATAATCAAAGTAAATGGAGTAGAGTTCAAATTCTTGTGCATAATTGTCTGATGACTTAATCGTATTGCAGATTTTGAATCATTAAATTTAATTCTACATGTTTTCAACTCCGGTGCAGGTCCTTTTAGGACTAGATAACTATGTTGAAAGAACATCAAAGCAAACAATTGATATTTTGAACAGAAGAGGTAAGGGTCTCGAGAACCAACTCGATTCTATAAAGGTAAAGTAGAAGCTTCATTTTTGTTACTACAGCTTCCAAGGCAGTAGTGAGTTTGTTGATTTTTTGTAGTAATTGATTTTTTTCTACTCTTCCTGTTATTTTCACTGTTCATTATTGTCATAGTAGTTTTGACATTTAAATTGATTTAGAATTGGTTGATTTTATTTTTTACTCTTAAAATCACTCTTTCTCTTAAAAGTAATAAATGGGTAGAGTTTGATTTATAATTTTTTTTTCATACCTAGGGCATGAATTGTATTTATAGTACCTTGTGGTTGGATAAGTGTCAATGATTTGGACAAGTGTCAGCTTCTGAAATGCTGAACAATTTTATTCCTTGATAGTTGGATCATACATGGCATTAAGTTAGGTTACAGGTCATGCCATCACATTTGATGAGTACACTTTGCTTGAATTTTTTCTGACGTGTTACTTCCAGAACATTAACATTCATTCTTAGAATTAGAATTATTAAAAAAGAAGGCATTACTTGAATGTACTATATTGCTTATTAACTCCAAGCATCAAGATTTACGCTTGGTACTCATTTTTATAACAAAAAAAGTGGATTTACAACAAGCACAGAAGCTTTTGGATGACATATTAGAGAGGACAATTGAAGTAGTGCGGCATATAGATCAAGCTATATCAGAGAAAGATCCCACAATGAATGAAGGGGTGAGACTGTTTAAACATACTCCCCGGGGAATATTGTTTGATTACTTAGGTAAGAAGATTTCATCAATCATTCTGCTTATTTTACTTGCACTAAGGAAAAACCTTTGCTGCCTATTGAAGTCCTTAACACGTCAAATTGCTTATCTATTTATTTTGCTCAATATTCTTGGATCGATCATAGGTACCAAAGAGTTGAACCTAATTACGTATTAATCTGATTTGTGGATAAATGGATTCTTTGTTGTTCTTTTTCCTATGTGTATTTGTTCATGTGATCCCGAAGTTTTACTTCGATACCAGATGAAATTGAAGGGCCGAAAAAGAAGCCAGGAATTCTTCCGAGGGAAGAGGTGGATGAAAAAGCAAAAAAGGTTTGCGTGCTTATCTCTAATGCTGCAGTTTGTTGATTCCAACATTGTACCTTTGATTCCAACATTGTACCTTTCGTGTGATATAGCCCTTGGATTCCTGTTTCAAACCTGTTTGAAATCAAAACAAACATGAACATAATGTTGGATTCCTGTTTCCAACACTGTTGATAATGAAAGCACAAAAAATGTGTTATACGACGAAGCACTCGATCAAACGGAACAATATAGCCCTCGGATTCCTGTTTCAGAGCCTCACCACCTCACCGAAGGAGCTCGATCATTCGCGGACAAGCCACTTTGTTAGTGAAAATAGGAGAGAAGTCCCATGAATATCAAGGGTATATGAATTTCAACATCATCATACAAAGAAATCCTTGGACAGCCTGCTATAAAAAGGCAAGCATAATCATTTCCCTCCATTAAACATATGTGAGGTGCTCTACGATCAAAAGCCGAATGTCCCTGAAATACATCAAGGAATCCTGCATAAGAGTCATGAAAGTAACAAAAATAAGACATGAGAGCTCCCAAGAATATCATTGCTATAGTTGAAAAAAATTAAACCTAGGGCTAAACTGGAAATTGATGACTCAATTAAAGCTCACAAATGATCAAATGTCAAAAGCAATTGTGATCGAAGAGCTAGGAAACATTCCTGTTAGCTCAAAAAATGCAAGCAAAGCCCTAAAAACTGGTAAAGATTTAAGCGAACCCATAAAAGGCTTATGAAAAACTTTCTAGCCATGAACATAGATGTGTTCACCTGGAAACATGTTGACATGGTGGAAATAGATCCCAAAGTTGCCTATCAAGCCCTAAATATCAATCCCTAGATCAAACCTCAGGTGCAAAGGTGCTAGTCAATGATCGCTAAAAATTTGGGACATTGAAAAGCAAGGTAGATAAACTGTGAAAAAATGGCTTTATCCAAGAAACTCTATACCTAGTTTGGGTATTGATCCAATCCTAGTACCAAAGGGTAGTGAAAATGGCAAACATGCCAAGATTTTACAGAATTGAGTAAAGCTTGTCCTAAAGACAGCTTCCCACTTCCCAGAATTGATAAGTTAGTGGATGCAACTACAGGAAATGAGCTGCTAAGTTTCATGGATATGTATTCAAGATATAATCAAATCTGAAAAACCTAACGTTCGACCCAACTCACACCTAGAGGGGGGGGTGAATAGGTGTTCATGCGGAATTAAAAAAAAAACTTATCAATTAATTCGTGCAACAAGTCACAAGAATTAAGTTTGTCCAGATTCATTCACATGTCTTAATTACTTATGTTGAATTACCGGTAACAATAAATAAATTAAAGCAATAAAAGAACACAACGAATGTTGACGGAGAAACCCCAACTGGGTAAAAACTCCGGGCTCAAGCCAGTAGAGATCCACTATTTGTAGAAGGTAACTTACAGTACGTCAGAACAATTGATCCCCTCAATTTTCTAACCTCCTTACTGTTTGAGAACAAGACTCTCCTGGATCTAGCAGATCTGTGCTACCATCCCAGCCTTGTGTGACTTCTACTTCCCGTGAATCGTCAAGCACTCCCACTCTTCAAGCCAGTTCTTCCCGGATCTTCAATCTGAGGATCTTCTGGAAGTTTTATAGGATTTAGAGAAGGTGGTGTTTTGGTGTTTCAAAGTGTGATGTTTTTCTGCAAAAGCCAAGGATTTTTTATATAAAAAGTTTAGAAGATTGTTAGGCTTTTTGAACCTTGGTGTGAAAGATATAAAGGATTAATCTCCAAGGATTTTAGAGTGAAGCAATAATATGGCTTCAATGTGTATTT